TCTCTCTCTCTCTCTCTCTCTCTCTCTCTCTCTCTCTCTCTCTCTCTCTCTCTCTCTCTCTCTCTCTCTCTCTCTCTCTCTCTCTCTCTCTCTCTCCCTCCCTTACCTCCCATTCTTTAGAGTTCATTGGTCTACAGCTGTGGTGCATTGCTATCAACCTGTTGGCTACACACTTCAAGTTAGCAAGACAGTCGGTGGAGAGCTCAATCAGGAGATCATAGGCAGCAACTCTAGCAGCAACATCACTACACCTAATGGAGGAATAACAATAACAATAATAATAATAATAATAGCACAGTAAATATTGAAAGACCAAGTGCATACTGTGTAACATTTATAATAATAAATAAAATTATTACAGATGTCAATGTACACTGTACAGTGCCCACAGTAGCAATAAACCCACAACTCAGCCATAGCTCCTACCACATACATGTATAGGGTCACTTTTACATGTAATCCTGTGTTCATGTGACTCACTTTGGTTCAATGTTTAGTATACCCTTAGCCTCTGGATCTCTTGATTGTGAGACCAAATGTGAGGCTGGGAATAGAAAATTATCAAGTAAATCTGGTACCAAAGTATCAGTATAGGAGGACTTATCAACACCTAATGGAGGAGAGAGAAATAAAGATGTACATGTACATGTAGTAGAATTAGTAATGATTGAAAGAGATTTGTGCCATATAGTTGAAGTTTCTGTACTTTTATATGCACAAAAATACATGTACACATGTACATGTACATGTACAGCATAAAACATTATGTTTAATAGTGAATATTAATCAAGTATAATTACTATATTAATAATTTAATATACTGACCGTGACAAGACATCAAAGCTCTTATGAGGTTCAAGTGTCCAGCAAGGAGTGTCTGTACTGGAGGACAAGGAGGGGGAGGTATGGTCACTGATGATAACCAGTCCAACTCCTTCTTTAACATGTGATGGACATCAATGGAGAGAGACTCCTGCTCAGATACTAAAGAAATAAAAATAATAATAATTAGTATAATTTACCAATGCATTATATCTATTTATTAACATTGTATATTGTTAGTATTTTTAGTGCTTGTTTTTGTTGTTATTATTTAAATAAATAAAAAAACATGACATACACGTAATACACATTGAAATGTACATGTACATGTACATGTACATGTACATATATATGTACATGTATATGTACATGTGTACGCATTACATGAATGAACTAACCTAATAATCTTTTGAGAAGGTGAGATAAAAAAATAAAATATTCCGTACACCTTCCCCACAGCACTAGGTCGGAATTGCTGGGCGGGGTCAGTTTCCATAGCAACAGGGTAGGGGTAGAATTCAGAAGGAGGTGAAGGAAGAAATGTTGTGGAGTCTCTGAGGGGGAGGGGCAGGGTCTCTTGGGCTGATTGGACTGATCCTCTGAATCTTCATAAGACACTGAATGAGAGAAGAAAATATAATATTAATAATATTAAAAAATAAAGTAAAAATAAAAAATAAAGTAAAAAAAAAATAATAATAAATTTAAAAATAAAGTAAAAAATAAAAAATAAATAAATAATAAAAATAATAAATAAAAAATAAATAAATAATAAAAATAATAAATTAAAAATAAATAAATAATAAAATATTAATATCAAGAGCAGATCAATGTACATGTATTGTAGCATCAATGTAGCTAGTAATTTTGGAGAAAATTTTTTAGTGATTCACTACAAATTTTTTCGACGATTGGTTTATTTTAAATTGATGAATTTGTGCTAAGCAAGGCTGTTTTTTTAAATGCCAAACTTGACAAAATTTCTCCTCCATCTTTACAATATTTATTTATTCATTTTATCCTACCTGAGTAAAACCTAGCGTCCAAACAAAGATCAAAAAAGGATTCCATCATTTGGTTCCGGAGGTCAGGCTGGGAGGAGCCCAGCAACACATCAATCACAAACTCTTCTACACGTGAGAGCTCATAAAATATTTTCAAAAGGTTTTTACGAAGTTTTAGACAAGTGACGAGAAGTTCTAGAGACTCTTGAGCAATACTGACATCCTACAATAGAAAAAATATTTTCTTTAACTATAAAATACTATTAATAGATTATATAAGGTAATCGTTACTATTAATTAATAGATTATACAACGTAATTGTTACTATTAATAGATTAATAAGTTTGATACTACTAAACATGTAGATTTGTTGCTAATAATAGAATAATAAATTACTGGTCAATCTGTTACTATTAATAGATAACAAAGTACTATTAATAGATTATGAGGTAATTGTTACTATTAATAGATTATGAGGTAATTGTTACTATTAATAGATCACATACCTTGCTGTTAACTACACTGGTAGTGAAAGAGCACAGGCCAGACTTCAACTGATCGCTGCCCTCTCCTGTAGCAAGATACAGTTTACCAGCTCCTGCTGACCAGCAGACTCTCATTAGGCAGGAGAGGATGGTTCGGAAATCATCATTAGTCATTGTCTATATATGGAAAATAGATACATGAATGTACATGTACATTGTGAGATTTAGAAATAAGTTTTAGGAAATTAATCTAATCATGAAAGACTTAATGGGAGATCGTCTCCTACATGTACATGTACTTACATGTACATGTACTTACATGTACATGTACATGTATTAACAAAATTAAAAAAATATGAAATAATTAATACTGTAAAACAATACACATGTACATGTACATTTAAAACAAGATGGTCGATCTTACCTCTATCGTATGTCTAGCGACCTCATCCTCTACATTCCGACTCATCTGTCTACCAACAGGAAGGTGTGGCTTATCAACTCCCTCCACACCACCTTCAGTATCGGATGAAGTGGGCGGAGGACATAAAAGGACTCTCGCTAGGGTTAGAGTGATTGCGTAACAGTCTTGACGGACGGTGACGTCGGTTTCTGGAGGGAAATTGGAGCTGTGGAGTATGTTAAGGACAACTTTGAGGCCCTCGGCCTCTAGGAAGTTTCGACGGAAAGTTTGAGATGAATCGACTTCAGTGATCTGATTGGTCGGCATTAGCTTACCACTGAGGACCTGAGAGAATGGGATTTGATTAATTAATTAGGGACATAATTTTTTTAAATGGTCATAACTTGGAAAA